CATTCAAGCGACACCATACTTTCCTTTACATCTGCATATGTGGTCATTATCACTGAAGTCAGTCGGGCCTGCCAGCGGATGTTGGTTTTCGTGCAGCGCCAGCCCGTTTCCCACCACTCACGGGACACACGAAATCGCAAAGACCGATGAGGAAAGGGCGCCGCTGCGCCAGTACCCACGCCCCGGTAGAATCCAGTGACAAAGACGTAGAAACTAGATCATCTACACTCCACTTGCAAATACTCAGCAAAAACTCACCAAAGTGATCTGAGCGCGGGGAACTTCCTAATGAGATAATTGCGAGCGCTCTGATCTATCGTAATCCACCAATCGCGAACCCTCAAAAACGTTTTCGTGAGTCTTTGAAACGATCATAAGCAAAAAAAAGAGAAAAGCAAGCAGGGAAAATCTTTACACTTTAGTCTCTTCAACAGGACCCATGCTTTTACGTCGCACATCATTCGCCATCATCCATATCTGAAACAGAATAGCATGTTCGTGGAGAAGTAGAGCACAAATAGTTTTGACATCATGCTCACATCATCGATCATTTTTGCAGCCTGCTCGTGCCCAGATGCCTTCGCTTCTTTGCGAAACTTCCAGAAATTTTGCATTTTTTCTTGGAAACAGGGATTATCTTTCTTCACGAATTCGTTCGTAGCTAACCAACGAAAATACTGAATATAGATTAAACATATATACGAGTGGTTGTGGAAACAATGTAAAAATATGTGCTCTTTCTCTCTGCAAAGAGTGCGGGTCGAAGCGTAGCAGGATTTGTAGCGTTACTTTCCAGTCATGGATTTGGAAGAGACAGCTGTTGCCATGTAGAGTGAGTGGAGTACTGCTGCGAGCGTACACTGGGAAGTAACGCTTAACACCCGAGCGAGGTCAGAGCTGTCTGTGCCGTGAAATGTCGCGAGCTCAGGATGGCATCAGAAAGGTAGTTCTAGCTGCACGGGTATGTGGTAAGAGAATCGTAATTGGCCGAGCCAGTGGGCGTCGCGTGAGACGTCACGCCCATTAAAGACACATGGTACGCTCAAACACTTGAGGGTGTATGAGACTATCAGCCCCCAGCTGTCGATGTGTCGTGGTCCCCCCGCCCAAAACTGCACGGGGTCAGAGTACGGGGCCGTGGGAAAGTCGTAATTCCTTGCTACACCGCCCTCACGTTTATGCTAACACCATCCGCGCGGCGCGGTCGCGTGCAGCTCTCTTGGCTTTTTGCCAAGTCCTGTAATTGCGCTTTGGAATACAAGTACGCAATTTCTTTATGCGGATAACATTTTAGGTGCTGCAAAATAAGAACCGAAGATGATGACGAGGGCTAGAACTCAAGAGCAACTGTGCTGCTTCTGCAACAGCCCTCGCAGGCCGCGCATTCCCACAAAACATCAAAATAAAAACGGCCTAAGCGTCCCACTCGTTAGTTTGAAGTATTTCTATAGCATTAGAGCCGGATTCGAGCCGGATCGCAGAAATGCACACGCGATTTTAATTTATTGCGTTTCCTTAGTTTTTTCAATTTTGTTTTATTTACATCTACATTCGTTGTTGTTCATTTCTAGCCTTTGTCATCTTCATCACCTTCTATTCGGACTTTGAAGCATGAGCAATACCTCAAATGTTAGGAAATTGCGTTTTGCTTGTATTGTCATGTTGTCCGTTTTTATTGTCATGTTCTGTGGGAATGCGCGGCCTCTGAGGGATATTGCAGAAGCAGCACAGTTGCTCTTGAGTTCTAGCCCTCGTCATCATCTTCGGTTCTTATTTTGCAGCACCTAAAATGTTATCCGCATAAAGAAATTGCGTTTGTATTCCAAAGCGCAATTACAGGACTTGGCAAAAAGCCAAGAGAGCTGCACGCGACCGCGCCGCGCGGACGGTGTTAGTAAAAACGTGAGTTTGCGAAACGGGCGGTGTAGCAAGGAATTACGACTTTCCCACGGCCCCGTACTCTGACCCCGTGCAGTTTTGGGCGGGGACCACGACACATCGACAGCTGGGGGCTGATAGTCTCATACACCCTCAATGTGTTTGAGCGTACCATGTGTCTCTTAATCCGTCTCTATGGCTGCATTCCTACCCCTCTCTTCATTCACAGGAGGCCTAAGTGAACCCCAATTTGTCTAGCTTCTTGAAAACAACGTCCACATTGAGAGACTCCCGAAGGCCACTACAGGAGCCAAGTACATATCCAAAATACAATCCTGATTGCACACAAATTCTGTGGTGCCCCCTAAAATGGATTTTTTTTCCTTCCTCATGGGAGATTCTCAAAGATCGCATTGGTCTTGTTGTTTACCAGTAGGCTCACTAATATCCGGGTTCTCTTTTATCTAAACAGATGGCCAAAGCTCTCTCTCTCTCTCTGACCAATAATACCATACCTACGGTTACTGTGCATGTGGTAAGGAGCGTTCATGGAGTGCACAGATGAGAGAAAAGCCGGGTATCTGTCGTTTATTTGAGCGTACGAAAGCATGTAGACGTGTCGAAGCTACCTCGCCCGGTAAGGCCGGGCCGTATCACACAGGAGGCGCGCCCGCCTCAGTCGGCGAGCCGACTGGTTGAATTGAATGTACCCCCGACGACCGGTGGTTAAGTACATGGATGCCAAAGCTCAGTAAAGATAGGCAATTTAAGAATACGCATGACCCTCTGTGTGCGGGTCTCTACATGCCATAGACATACTCCTTTCGCCTTATGTTCCTTTTCTTCAACGACTTCGACCTTCCCTCAGGTCCGAATTGTAAAATTTCGTAGCAAGCGCCTCCCATCTCGAAAACGCCCCCCCCCCCCATTTTGAGGATGTCCGCCCCATTTCATCCACTAACTCCTTGTGAACTTCAGTCCACATGCCCCGGTGCATATGCTGCTCTGCAAGCAACTCGTGAATTTTTGACTTTTGCCCCTCCCACCTCGACACCTGCTTCGCCCACATTGGGGTGTTTATCTCACTTCAATAGTCGAGGTCTTCCACACCGCTCACCTTTTGCCGCTGTCTGTACTTTTCCGGTAACGTTTCAAAATTCTTTCCCCGCTTACCTCAGCGCACGCTCCGCCCACAACAGCTGCACCCACTTCTCCACGGGTCGCTGGCCCATCACTGACATTATACCACTTTTTCCCCAGTGTCTGGATGCTCTGGGAGCGTTCATCGAATTTATTTATTTGGCTCAGCCCAAAACAGGAGTACCTCGTACTTCTAAACTTTGAGCCATAATCCCTTTTTTTGCGGCTTCTGAACTGCTTTGGTAGCAAGCTACGTTTTTCTATTAGTACCTCATGTTTGAGGCTACGCCCCTCCCATTGTGGGCGGGTCTCCGCAGAGATGACGGACTCTCGTCAGATGTTTGTCGTTCGACTCTGTCCGGGGTTTTTTGAAAAACTTTTTTTTTTTTTTGGGCCATTCTGCGACCCGTACAGCAGCATCCCGGATGTGTCCCCTCCATTTGATGGGACAGCTCTTTGCTAACCCTATCTCACTTTTCTCCCATCCCAGAGCTGCTCCGTAGCCGATTTATGGCTTTTTCAATGACATCTCCCTGGTAGAACCGCATTTCCGGACAAACAAACAAACATACGTAGCAAATTATATATAGTGGTTGAAATCGACACCTGAAGAATACAACGGCGCATTCCGTGCAGTAGTTCGCCGGGCTGCGATAGTCCCAAATTTTACAGAGATTCTCTTTTTATTAGTTTTTTGAGGAGGGGACCATCCAGATGCAGCTCTGTCTGTTGCAAAGTAGTCAAGTGCTATCGTATCTTTCGTAGCCTTGTGGGACCACTAGGCTACCCATAGCACTTACAAGACTTGCAGTACGATGTGGAACCCAGCACGGGGTCCTATCTGCCTATGTGTAAAATGTTTTTTATGTGTAAAATGTTTTTAATAGTTGACTTTCAACAGTCTTTCCTGTTTCGAGGGCATCGCCCCCCCCCTCCCCTGCAGTTTTTTTGTGGAAGAAGTTTGAAAATTTGAGAAGATCGTAGATAGAAGGGCATAGGGAGGGAGTGGGATCGCACCGGAAGAGGAACTTCTGAAAGAAAATTTTGCTAAAAGTTCCCCTGCTAAAAGGCAGGACGTACCATGAGCACATCTCCCTGTTGAGCTGATATGAAAAAGAAATCGAGCGAAAGAAAATCAAACCCCATCATCGGTAGTAGGAAGATCGTGTTCTATCAGCAATTTGTCGGTATATCGGAAGTCATCTTTGGTTAATTTGAACATCTGATTCATAAGAGCATTTGTGTCAACTGAAATGGAAAAAAGGCGACAAGACCGTAGGAACAGCATAAAAAGGTTTCTCAGAGTACTTACTCCTTTGGTAACTAGCCGCCGTCGAAAGAAGTACGAAGAAGAATAGATGCTGAATCATTGCACTGGACTGAATGCCGATCGGAAACTGAAAAGTGCAGTGTGCTTGCGGCATTGATCAATCCAAGGTGTGTCTATACTTCGCGACTCAACCGCTGTGATCACACGAGCGATTAGGTCGTGGTGTCGGAGCGATCAACGCCAACCACCAGTTATCGCCGATCGATGCCAACTGAATGCAGGGTGTAAGCGCATCCAGCATAACGCTCTCCGCAGCAACAGCTCCATGAGCTATGGTACATTCATACCCAGAACTGAAGAATTTTCCTACCAATAGGAGTGAGTTCATCCAGGCGATTGTGGGAACAGTATTCAGGCAGAGAGGATCGCGGATGGCACGGAAAAACGTAGATGCGCCTCTCGCCCATCACTGAATGGTAGCTGTCAGCTGCCGCTCGACCCCCCCCCCTCCTTCCTACCACACATATCCAAACCCCAAATATTCGTCTTTCTACACCTGCGTTACGGGGCTGCAAACATTTGGGAACGCCAAACACCCCACACGCTATGAAAAAGGGAACGGTGAAGGAAAAAACGAGCATAAGCATTACGGGTAACTGAGAAGAGGCAAGGATTAAAGTAAATTTTGAAACTTTTCCCCAAAGGAAACTGATAGGAGGCAAGGAGCAAGATGAATT